TTAGGTTAGGTAGGGTTGGTCATATATATATATATATATATATATATATATATATATATATATATATATATATATATATATATATATATATATATATATATGTTGTTAATATGACCGAAAAGGTAAGATTAATAATTCTAACACGAATTTTCTCAATCAATACACATCAAAAAGTCAACACCAGCAATCAATAGCCAATTAATGCACAACTATATTCTACCCACTTCAAGACTCCGTACCAATATAGAAGCAGCACGAGGAAGTATGGGCCAATAGGCCTTCTGCAGTTACTTCCATTCTTATGTTCTCTTATCCAACAAATACCCATTGTTTCGTGTTCTGTCTTGTGTTGTTATAAGTTTGTTCACCTCACCCAAAACTGTTGTACCATATGTCACCTCACCCAAATGCGAGTATAAATATGGAAGCAAATTGCGTGTTTACAGGTTACAGTTGTGTGTGTAAACTAAAGTCTTTGTACTTTAAAGAAAATGAAAATGAATATGAAAATTGTACTTTAAAGAAAATGTAATAGGTAATTACGAAACGCGTTCAGGCGTCGCGTCAGACTAGAAATAAAAATGAATTTTGGAGAATTGATTTTTCAATTACTATCAACAGTGAGAAGAAACATAAAAAATATTGAGAAAATTCGTGTTAGAATTATTAATCTTACCTTTTCGGTCATATTTAACAACATATGTTTGCAAGAAAGACTGCTACCAAAATATACTATATATATATATATATATATATATATATATATATATATATATATATATATATATATATATATATATATATATATATATATATATATATATATATATATATATATATATATATATATATATATATATATATATATATATATATATATATATACAGTAAAATGACTAAGAGCAGTGGCTTAGGGCAGATGAAATGCAAGTCACATATAAACAAATTAAAATAAATCTGCTAAGTTCAGTTCACAGTGTGGTAAATGCAGGATAAAAGACAGGAAATGGAAAAAATTAAATACTTTAATATGAAAAAAATTAACTTTAACAAATAACAAAATTAAAAATAGTTCCACCAAGGCTTGGTTTACTTACAAGGTGCGAAATATGAAAAACAATCAAACAGACAAGTTAACGTTACGTTAGAGAACAAGAAATAAATGGTGCTGAAAATACTTGAGTACAAAGGCTTAGATCTACCACCACACAGGGTAGTGTGAGAGCAGAGGTAGCCATATGAGCACAGAGAGTATTCGGACTGGAGGCGGCTGGCTGGCTTCTATATATACAGGACAGTGACCGTCCAGGTGGCGCTGTTATAGCGATAACTGGGAGCCGGTAAGTAGAAATGATCACTATGCTTGTTACCAGCCAGTGGCATTTACCTGAGAGCCACTAATGCTAGTGGCCTCGACGCGGACAGAAAGCCGGTGGCTTGTCAAAAGTCCCCACATTTGCCCTGATGAACGTTTCCAGTTATATGTTAAAACCAGAGATTTGCATTTACAGCTTCGACGGGTAGGCGGTTCCACGGGTTAATAACCCTATGAGTGAAAAATCATCTGTTCTCAGTCCTACATTGTGGCTGGTTGGGTTTGAAACCTTTGCTCCTCGTTCATGCTACATCTGACCTTTTGAAGACATTGTCTCGATCAACATCCTCCAAATTGTTCAGTATTTTAAAGGTTTCGATGAGATCCGTCCTATCATGCCTGGTTTGCAGTGTTGTTAGCCCAGTGGCCCTCAACCGTTCCTGATACGAGAGATGATTAAGATCTGGAATGATTTTTGTTGCCCAGTGTTGCACCTTCTTCAGAACAGCTGTGTCTTTCTGAAGATGAGGTCTCCATGCCTGGATGTAATAATCTAGGTGGGGGCTCACCAGAGACTTATACAACTGAATGACTACCTTCTTTTCCTTAAAGGTAAAGGTACGCTTGATTATTCCAGGGTTTGGTTAGCTTTTTCTACTGCCGCTCCCACTTATTGTGCAACTTTCTGTTATTAAAGGATTCTTACTCCAAGGTACTGTTCTTCATCTATCTGTTGTAAAGTAGTGCTTGTTATTTGGTAGCTGTGACGTGGATTGTTATGCCTTATAGGACGTTCTGGCCATGAAGTTTTGTGTTTGAGAAAGAGACGTTTTTGTCTTCTATTGTCTGACGCACTTTGATTATCGTTCGATTATTTTTTCTGGTTCCAGGTTTGGTGTGTCAGAAAGAATACAAAATTAATTGTATTGAGCCGGTTATTTTTTTACTCAATAACTTTGGGCTGGGACGTAAAGAAGCAATGGAACGCAGGATGGTTTCTGAATTCCCCACATCAGGTTTAAGGGGAAAAAAATCTGTTATAAAACGAGTTTTTTTTTTTTTTTTTTTTTAAAAAGAGGCAAAAAAATCATACCTAATGTATACAAGTGATTACATGTACTAACCTTGCTGTAATCATCTAGTTGTGCTTGCGAGTGTTGAGCTTGGGCTCTTTGGTCCCGCCTCTCAATAGTGGCCCTTCATCTATTTGTACACCTTTCTTATGTCCCCGCTAACTCTTGGTCTTTCTAAAGAATTCAAATTAAGCTTTTTCAATCTCTTCATTTGAAGGGTTTCCTAGTTCTTGACATTATCTTTGTCATCTTTCACTGAACGCGTTCAAGGTATTTATGCAACCTGTCCTCTTACAAATTACGTCTGAATTTAGCCGTTTACCCGTATGGTCGAAAATTGAAGTAATTTGAAAATGAAAAAAAAATGTAAATAAATTTGGTATTTTTTCCCAAAACAGTAAATTAAGGGTCCTCTGGTAGGTTAGGAGGGCAAGAAGTTCTCCTTAAGTTTCAAAACGTCATGAAAACCGTTAATTGAAAGTTTCCTCTCCTAACCTTACCGAGTAAGCCGGAGGACTCGAACAGAAAACGGGACAGAACATCACTTTCGTGAGCCGATTTCATTTCAAATTACGTCCATTTTTGGCCATAGCGCGCATACGAGCGAAAAGCGACGTTATTTTAAAGAGGACGAGCTGTTCTGTAGTATGGCGACCAAACTTAATTGCATAATCTAAGTCGGAACGAATAGGAGCTAGATATAGCTGAAGAATAACAGTCTGTCTTTTATTGTTAACACTTCCACGAATAAATCTTGGTAACCAATTTTCCTTATTCTAAACATTTATATAAAGCATTGATTTTTTTGGCCTTAAATTCTTACTAATCATAATATTTTTTTCGAACTTTCGATACTATCCAGCTGATAACTAGCTCTGTCCTCATTACCTAGTCTCAGAGCCTTACATTTGTCAGCGTTAAATTACATCTGTAATCCCTTGTCACATGACCCCTCGCCGGGACCAGTCTGTCTTCGCCGACAAACTCGGCCCATTAAAATCAGATTTTCAGGCACCTTGACAGAATTTTACCCTATACGTACATTTCATTTTCTATTCCATTCTATGTTAAATCTGCTTTCCTTGTGATCACTGCTCCATAACTTTGCTCGACCGACCAAGTGATTGAGCACCAGATTGATTGATTGATAAAGATTAAGCCACCCAAAAGGTGGCACGAGCATGAATAGCCCGTAAGTGGTGGCCCTTTTGAGCCATTACCAGTATCAAGAGCTGATACTGGAGATCTGTGGAGGTGCGACTGCACCCTGCGTGATGGAAGATGTCTCCCGTCGACCAAATGGATTGATTGATTGATGAAGATTAAGCCACCCAAAAGGTGGCACGGGCATGAATAGCCCGTAAGTGGAGGCCCTTTTGAGCCATTACCAGTATCAATAGATGATACTGGAGATCTGTGGAGGTGCGACTGCACCCTGCGGGCCGGGAGATGTCTCCCGTGTTGGGCACCATTCCTTCCCTCCTTTATATACTAATCCTATCCTTATCCCCACTAACTTCTATATACAGTAGTCGTAAATCGCTTGGTGTTTTCTCTTGATAATTACCTTACCATGTTCCCTAACTCATTTCCTATTTCGATGTTATTTATTAACACAAAGTCTAAAATATTATCGCCCATTGTTTGTTCCTTAATATGTCATTTAAAGAAGTGATCATCAACTAATTCTAAAAAATCTGCTTCTGTATTCCTTGTTTGGTTAGTCCAGTTCAAGTTCAAGTATGTTTATTGAGACAAGAAAAATACAACAAAGGGATAACAGCAGTACACTTACATCTCATCAGGCTTGGATACCCATGTGCATGGGAAATAGATTTACAGGTTCCGGAAGATGAGAGGAAATGTCAGCATTGTGGAGAAATGCCCGACAGACCACTGGAACATTATCTAACACAGTGCACAGTTACAAACCCATTAGGATTTCAACTTAGATTCAACAGAGCAGAAGAAGTTGTTAAACACATGGGACAAAATCTTACTGAAGCGACCATAAGTCATAAATACTCATACTCCGCCCAAGTAAAACAGAAACAAGCAACACTTAGTGGGCCAGCCAGAGGCTTAGGGCCCGCGCAGGAATATCCTTGCAAAAAAAAAAAAATCTCAGCGGGATAGAGTAGGAGTAGACTATTAGAGTAGAGAAAGAATAGAGTAGAGTAGGCTATATCTACCCTCCTTCTCCCCCCACCCCATGTTTATGCGACTAAAATGAAAGCCACCCATAACACAAAGATTGACCCATAGTCGATGCAATAGATTATAGAATTATAGTTATTTCGTCTCCCTTTCGCAGAGGTCCAATACTAGATGTAGTTTTTGTTCTAGATTTTGCATAGGAGGAAAAAGTTTTTCGTATTTCTCTTTCGCTGATGGCCTTTTGCTCTCTTTGCCTCTCCTGGATTTGATGTGATTCTGGTAGCTTTACTGAACTTAAAATAGGAATAATTAAAAAACATCAGGCTTCTTGCCTGAATGGGAGACCTGGTCGAGGACCGGGCCGCGGGGACGCTAAGCCCCGAAATCAGCTCACGGTAACTTCAAGGTTGCCTCCCTATTAAGTGCAAAAAAATAAACCTTGAACAATCCCACCTATGCACAGCGGACTAGGAATATCAAAAGGAACTGTTCACCATTCCTTCCCCCCTCTGCCAACGGCTGCCTTCATTAACAAACCAACGGCTGCCTTCTTTAACAAACCAACGGCTGCCTTCATTAACAAACCAACGGCTGCCTTCATTAACAAACCAACGGCTGCCTTCTTTAACAAACCAACGGCTGCCTTCATTAACAAACCAACGGCTGCCTTCATTAACAAACCAACGGCTGCCTTCATTAACAAACCAACGGCTGCCTTCATTAACAAACCAACGGCTGCCTTCTTTAACAAACCAACGGCTGCCTTCATTAACAAACCAACGGCTGCCTTCTTTGACAAACCAACGGCTGCCTTCTTTAACAAACCAACGGCTGCCTTCATTAACAAACCAACGGCTGCCTTCATTAACAAACCAACGGCTGCCTTCTTTAACAAACCAACGGCTGCCTTCATTAACAAACCAACGGCTGCCTTCATTAACAAACCAACGGCTGCCTTCTTTAACAAACCAACGGCTGCCTTCATTAACAAACCAACGGCTGCCTTCATTAACAAACCAACGGCTGCCTTCATTAACAAACCAACGGCTGCCTTCATTAACAAACCAACGGCTGCCTTCATTAACAAACCAACGGCTGCCTTCATTAACAAACCAACGGCTGCCTTCATTAACAAACCAACGGCTGCCTTCTTTAACAAACCAACGGCTGCCTTCATTAACAAACCAACGGCTGCCTGCTTTGACAAACCAACGGCTGCCTTCATTAACAAACCAACGGCTGCCTTCATTAACAAACCAACGGCTGCCTTCTTTAACAAACCAACGGCTGCCTTCATTAACAAACCAACGGCTGCCTTCTTTGACAAACCAACGGCTGCCTTCTTTAACAAACCAACGGCTGCCTTCATTAACAAACCAACGGCTGCCTTCTTTGACAAACCAACGGCTGCCTTCTTTAACAAACCAACGGCTGCCTTCATTAACAAACCAACGGCTGCCTTCATTAACAATTAAACGGACGGCTGCCTTCATTAACAATTAAACGGACGGCTGCCTTCATTAACAAACGGACGGCTGCCTTCATTAACAAACCAACGGCTGCCTGGTGGTGTTACAAGGAACAGGAACACATTGGCATGCGATGGTCCCCTTATTTTATCAGATATTTTTTCAAGGTATATTTTTGACCGTGAGGCTTCGACAGCTTCACCTGCTCGACTTGAATCTAGCTTCATTACTCCATCGGATAGCTGTTGTCTCTCCTGCAGGAGAACCAGTGCATCACCGCCGGATACCGATGTGCTTGTGAACCTTGGGAGTGCTGGACAAGAATCATTAGTAAAACATCTTCAACCACGTTCTTCTGAAGCCTAGTCGACTTCTATTTGTCCTTCCAGGGTGCCTCAGAGGCTGGTTAAGGCGTCCTATTGACGTCATTGGACAATCAACAATCTTAATGGGCCTGAAACGTGTGTTGGATGGAGCCAGGGTTCACTAGAGCAGGGATGACACATTGTGGCTAATATGGCCTCAAGTTACTACCTAAATGTCTTAATATTTTCCCCATTCAAGATAAGTGTGTATACATATACGCGTGTGTCTGACTGTCGCGGGAGTTTACCTTACTGGTGTCAAATTTGACATGACATTTGACCTTGAGGTTGTTTAAGTTATGGTTGATCTTTACAAGTATCTGTCAGTAACCGAGGGTAAGACATCAGCTGTTGTAACATTGTCTCTTCAAAGTAAAGTTTGATACATCTCTGATGACGTCAAGAGTGAGGGTACAGCTGAGAGGTGCAAGTTGTTCGGTTACAGCGAAGAGTGTTTATAGTGAAGTGTAGGTAGAGCTTCCATCACACTCTAATACATTGTGTGGTAGTTAGTGTGTGCATGTGTCAGGTCACCCACACAATGTGGTAGTGTGTGTGTATCAGGTCATCAGCATAATGTGGTAGTGTGTGGTGTGTCAGGTCACCCAAAATGTGGTAGTGTGTGTGTATCAGGTCATAAGCATAATGTGGTAGTGTGTAGTGTGTCAGATCACCCACACAATGTGGTAGTGTATATGTGTCAAGTGTTGCATGTTTCACCTGTGTCAAGTACTGAGGCAGAGATTGTAGCAGCTCCCCCGAGGACCGTCAATCACACCCACCATCCCCCAGAGGGTTGTAAAGAAGAACGAGATCCCGAAGACAATACCAGCCCGTAACTATACTCCACGGCGTCGTCCTCAGCACTGTAGATGGGTATAGAGCTCGCTCGCCCAGCAGTGAGTAGTATTTTCTAGTACGACAATTTTGTGGTCTTTAAGTATACGTCAAAACGCGACGCTCTATTAGGAGGACGGGTTGGTACCCACTGTATAAACTCACAACTCCATACATACAATACACTGTACAATTCATACACACTGCTCTCTCAGTAAACTCCGTACAGTACACTGCACCCGGTGCAGGTGTAACTGGGGAGGCTAGGATACCCTGTACTCTGGCTCTAAGTCCTTCAGACGTCAGGAACATCACTGCGGGTATACTGCTCCCTGGATTTCCTCTTTCCCGTTGTCCGGTGTGACACCTGGAGCATTGCAACTACTTTATTCACTCTCGTGTTCTTGAAGATATCCTCATATTGCACCCAAAATTGGCCAGTGCAGGCTACTGAACATATGGCCCTGTATGACTAACCATCCTGCGAGATAGGGACTTTTAGTATCACTGCGACCTTATTCACTCTTGTGTTGATGATGATATCCTCATAATGCACCCAGAATCTGCCAGTGCAGACTACTGATCACATGCCTCAGAATGACTAACCATCCTGTGTGATGGGGATTTTAGAATCACGTAGCTAGTTTTTTCTACACACACACTGTACTCCCCTATACACACTGTACTGTATAGTCTAGGACAGCTGCACAAATGCAGATATACCTAAATGTGTTAATAAAAAAAAGTGAAACACTTCCTCAATATTACAGTGTAATGTATGCTGCAATTATTCTAGCCTAGCCTCTCTACATGCACAAATGTCCTGCATTGTATATTAATTATCAAGATTCAGATCCAGGATGAGTATCATCACCAGCAAGTAAAATGACAGCATGGAGGTTACATAAACACAGTATATAAAAATAACAATACAATACAAGAAAATCAATACCATTCACTAGGTGCTGTAGCCGCGTCAAAAATTAGAAACTGGTCACTGCTCTAAACTCAAAGTCTACTGTACTGTAATACACTGCTCCAGTGACACAACACTAAATCCTGAGCACTAACTCTTAACAAGATTAAGGAGCCGTCCAGAATAATTCATCTTTACGTTAATCGTTTCCTTACTTATCTAGTTTGAGCACAAGCAAAGAAAATGTCAATTCTTCACTAGGCTATTTCGGTCAATCTTTAATGCTACTTGAATACTTATATAGACGAACATAATAATAATACAATAATTAATATAGATGCATGTAGTTAAAATAATTATAAAAATCACCTAATATCATTCATCAAATTAACTGATGGAGGGAGAGGGGAGGGAAGCCATACCTGTCAGCTCGCCACAACTAACCTTTACCATACCTGTCAGCTTGCCACAACTGACCTTTGCCATACCTGTCAGCTTGCCACAACTGACCTTTACCATACCTGTCAGCTTGCCACAACTGACCTTTGCCATACCTGTCAGCTTGCCACAACTGACCTTTGCCATACCTGTCAGCTTGCCACAACTGACCTTTGCCATACCTGTCAGCTCTCCACAACTGACCTTTGCCATACCTGTCAGCTTGCCACAACTGACCTTTGACATACCTGTCAGCTTGCCACAACTGACCTTTGACATACCTGTCAGCTCTCCACAACTGACCTTTGCCATACCTGTCAGCTTGCCACAACTGACCTTTGCCATACCTGTCAGCTCTCCACAACTGACCTTTGCCATACCTGTCAGCTTGCCACAACTGACCTTTGACATACCTGTCAGCTTGCCACAACTGACCTTTGACATACCTGTCAGCTCTCCACAACTGACCTTTGACATACCTGTCAGCTCTCCACAACTGACCTTTGCCATACCTGTCAGCTTGCCACAACTAACCTTTGCCAGACCTGTCAGCTCGCCATAACTGACCTTTGCCATACCTGTCAGCTTGCCACAACTGACCTTTGCCATACCTGTCAGCTAGTCACATCTGACTTTTACCATACCTCTCAGCTCTCCACAACTGACCTTTGCCATACCTGTCAGCTCGCCATAACTGACCTTTACCATACCTGTCAGCTCTCCACAACTGACCTTTGCCATACCTGTCAGCTCGCCATAACTGACCTTTGCCATACCTGTCAGCTCGCCATAACTGACCTTTGCCATACCTGTCAGCTCGCCATAACTGACCTTTACCATACCTGTCAGCTCTCCACAACTGACCTTTGCCATACCTGTCAGCTAGTCACATCTGACTTTTACCATACCTGTCAGCTCTCCACAACTGACCTTTGCCATACCTGTCACCTTGCCACAACTGACCTTTGCCATACCTGTCACCTTGCCACAACTGACCTTTGCCATGTCTGTCACCTTATCACAAATAATGAAATATCATCTTTTCTCAAACTACATAAAAAAATAGTTTTTTCTATTAAAAGCAAAATCACGCTCTCGAATTGTTTTTCCAAATAAAAAAAATAACTGCATTTTTTGCCAGCAAAACTTTCACCTTTTTTGTGTCTATCACACATCAGCATCTCATTGTGGAAGCTGGTTGGATGTTTTACCCCGTGGCCAGCCTCACTTTCTCCCTCGACCCACCAATCACAGGAGCAATTTTCATATATCATAGACGTTCCTTATCATTAGGAAGAACCAATAAAGATATCTGTATCGGTGTTCTGAGCTACGGTTGAACCTCGCACATTCACGTCTTGTAGCCACTCCGTCCAGAGCTGCTAGGGGTAGACGGGGCTTCTGGTCTCTGCGGTGCTTGCCGGAGACCAGGGACACATATCCCAGGCATGCTATAAGACGCATGGGGCTCGGGTGAAATGTCATGTAGATACCACCCGGTTCGTATCTGGCCGTTTTGTGGTGGAACGTGAGGTTCGTATACCGGATTGAGGGACCTTCTGTAAGCCTGACATCATTGCTTGCAAAGGTGACGAGGCCTTTATATTAAACACCCAGGTCTCTGCTGATAACTTGCCACTCTCCCGTCCACATCAGAGCATGTGTGACAAATACGGCACCCCAGAGATCCTTCAACAGGTCAGGGAATATACTGGTAAGCACACAGCATCCACCTCTTCTATAACCCTTAATTGGAGAGGGGGATGGTGCAAGAAGAGTGCGCGTGGTCTACAGGATATGGGACTCACCAAGAGCGACCTTGAGAGTTGCTCTGTGAAAGCCCTGACCTGGACATATTCCCTCTACAGAATATGGTCCAAGTCGACATCAAGAGGCAGACCACCTTAGTCCCAGGATCACCATGCAACGGGTGCATAAGGGTTAATATAGTCTTGTTGAGGTGAACCACAGCCAGGACAGCTGGTAGCTAACTACCTAAGCAGAGTCGTCATCTGGAGTACTACTTCTCCGAATGGTTCCTCACGGAGCCCACGAGGCGGCCAGAGGGACCCCATATATGACAACCCTCCCGCTCCGGGGCCTTGCTAAGCGCTTCCGCTTTGAATTGTTGTCCATGTATGCTGTTGTCAAGTCACCAATCCTGCCGCTAAGCAGCTTGTTATTTTGCCTTCAGCTTTAGTTCTTTTTTTAATGATATACTATGCACCTCTCCCTTTGTGTGCTGTGTTTTATACAAGAAAAAGCAATACAAAAGATTTTCCATTGTACTAACCCATTATTATTTTCATAACTCTTGTGGGTGAGATTGCCATCTAACCATTGTTATATATATTTCAGTTTGTGTTGTTAGGGAAATATGTGTGCTTAAGGGTACCTACCTCTCCCCATGCCTGGTGGTTGGGGGGTACGGGTGCCCTTGAAGCTATATA